GCCGCCAGTACTGTTACATTGCAAACCTTCTCTCTTCTCTCCTCTCTTCTCTTCTCTTCTTCTCTCCTCTTCTCTTCTCTCCTCTTCCACTTATCTCTGGCCGGCTACACTGTCAAGAAAATTGTTTTTATGTTTGATTTTATTTTTTAATTTTCATTTGAATATGCTTTACATGTTATGTTTATGCATTTTAATTCTAGATAATAGGTTTTTTAAAACATTTATTTTAAATTTGAAGTTTATATTTTTATTAATATTCTATTTAATATTTTTTAATTATTATTATTTTTTTTTTGTATTTTTGTGCCTTGCTTCAAAAAAGTGCGCCTCACATTTCACCTTGCGCCCCTTGCGCTTTTAAAACATTACATTAAAGTTAAGTTTTTGGAAACCTTCCTCCAGTGGAACCCATTCTGGAATTGTCTGAGGAGATTGCTACCTCTTCCAATTCCTCCATATATCATCGAAGGAGAAAGGGGGGAATAGCTTTAAGGTTTTGACCCAATGTATAGCCCTTGTTTTGATGCAGTCCCATAGATCCTCTAGGTATGCAGCCCTTGCACACCTCCACAATATTCTACCCCACTGCTTAGACCAGCTGAAGAAAGAAGCGTTGAAAAGGCCACTAACCTGCGTAGGAGCTTTGTTGTTTTTTTTTCCCCGCAAATACTTTTTTGCTTATGTGAATCTTACAGGTCACTGCAACAATCTTTGTTTTCCAATATTCCTTGGTTATGATAACAACAATTTTGTGAAATAACTTATTATATGTTATTTTAAGTGGGAAAAAGAACTTATTGTGTTATGAATAGAAGTTACTGACAAGTCTTTCCTACATTTTGTTTGTTAATCTCTTTGCTTCTGCTTGAAGAGAATGGTAGGTTTAAATTTATGAGTTGAATGAGTGTATCCCCCCTCCCTCCAAGTTAATAGATTGAGGTACAGTTTTCTGATAAATATGTTTTCGTTTGAGATCAATGACATGAACTTCCAACCCAGGATATTGACTGCATGCCTTTAAACCCAATGGAAAACATGCCCAAAGTTCTCCAAAGACAGAATGCAGGAGTTGATAAACTCTGTGAGAATATTAACGAGCCCAAGGTGAATCTACCCAAAGATTGGAAAAGTGGAGGTTGCATGAAGTTTACTCCAAGTGAGAATCTAGAGATGGCAGATGGATCTTCTCAGATTTCTTCAACTTGTCCCCTGAACACATTGTTAACACAGGAAAAGGTTTGTAGTTCTCTGCATTTCACATGTCATTATCTAAAGGCATACCAGCAACAATTACAAAATAAAAAATGTTAAAGCAATCCACTTTTTTGAACCCTTTAGAGTAAATATATGTCAAATAAATAACTTTTTTCTTTGGTAAAGATCTTGAATAAATAACTGGTGTTGATTTGTGAACATTGCCTCATTTTTAGCTTTTCCAAATTTGGACTGGATGAATGTATGCAACTGTTGAATATAGTCGATAAAAAACACAAAGTTTATTTAGAAACCATGATGATTATGTCAAATATCCATTCCAATATTATTTTTTGACACATAAGTATGGTTCATCTCGTTTCCTTCATTTGCAAGCTCAGAATGAAGTTTTAGAATAAGAATAATTAGAACTTAGAGTTGTACTTGTTAAAAACCATTTAAACACTATTTTGTTCAGGGGGACACAATCAATTCCATTTTGCTAGCTAAAGCAGCAACCAGTGAAATTGTCAATTCACAACAAGCCACATACACACAACCATGTACTCTGGCACAAATACAAGCAAAGGAGGCTGATATACGGGCTCTTTCTGAGCTAACTCGTGCTCTTGATAAAAAGGTTATTCCACTTGATTTCACTATATATGCATAAGTAATAATTTTTTAGTTGTTTCTGTTACTAAAATTTCCTTCATTGAAATGATCATGTGGAAGTTTATTTGTTTATCAAGTCCTCCAGAAATATCATTATTTGAAGTGACCCTGGTCATACATGTTATGTCCATAACTTGCTTGCTCTGTCAAAGTAGTAAATTTTAACTTTTTTACACTGTTATGACATGAATAATTACTCAGTTAATCAAGTCATTGTCTGTTTTGGTGTTCATAATGCTTTTTTTCCACATTGGATTTGTGAATATGCGAAATCTAGGTTCTGCATTAGAAATAGATAAGCACCCTTCTTCATATCCATATATATGCTTTTTTTTTGATAGTCAACATTCAACAGTGGAACTTTATTAATTCAGAAAAAAAAGAATATTGTGCAAGTGAATCGGCTAAAGTGTTAGCTGTTCTTGACACCTACTTAGCTGTTACCAGATGATAAAATGAAAAGCCATCATCTCATTTTTCCTAAAATAATCAACCAATATCAATAAGCATCTATTGAATTTGATATTTATCAAAATTAGAAACCCTATTAGAAACTGTAAAGGTTTGAGAGGGGAAAACTCTTTAACTATGGTCCTAGAAGAGACCTTGCATAGATGGAATGAAACCACTGGAGAACTCTCCTCATATTCTCACTCTTGTATTCCATAGATCTTGTGCTTTTCTAAGTTATCTTAATGCCATGAAAACAGGCTATGAATTTTACTTTTCTCTTTCATAGGCAACATAGATAAAATAAGCTTAAAATGAAATGCATTAGAAGTATAGGAGGGGATATCTTAATTCTGTGGCTTCATGCAACAAAAACTACAAAAACAAGAGATCTTTATCCAAGAAACTGCCCAAACAAAACAAGTGAAATGAATAAGCAGCTCTGGTCACAGGTGAAGGCTATATCAAGAGACAAGATTGCATGTAACCCCAACTATGGCACCAGTAGCAATAGAAAAAACCCATAAATTGCCACCCAAATAACATGGGCTGCATCTGATTCATTCCTCCACTTACATGAAAGAGCTCCTACATTAGTGGGTGCAAGGTTAGGCTTTCCTTGATATGATTCTTTTGTATCCACAACAAATCCCCCACCCACTCCACACCACACCACCAGATAAGAAAAAGCTGCAAATTCTGGAGTTAATGAGGCAAAATGGCTGTCCAGGATCTTGATGTCATTTTATGCCTGTGTTTCATTTCATCCTTCAGTTTCGTCTTTTGTTGTGGTCCAGTAGTTTGTGTTTTCAAACTTTTCGTACTTCACTGACTGTTTTTCTCATCAGATCAATAGTCTGGAAGTTCACTAAAAAACTTTCTTATAATTGGTAGGAAGCACTGTTGTTGGAGCTGACACACATGAATGATGAAGTATTGGAAAACCAGAAAGATGGAGAGAACTCTCTCAAAGATTCTGAGCCTTTCAAGAAGCAATATGCCACAGTTCTTGTACAGCTACAGGAAGCCAATGATCAGGCATGTGGCTTTTATGAACTTGGTCAACCTTGCATCTTACTTCAGTTCATACTCTTTTTCTTCCACCTAAATTACACTTTGCAACCTTGATCTTACTATTCCAAATGCAGGTTTCTTCTGCTCTGCTTTATTTGAGGCAACGGAATACCCACCAAGGAAATTCTCCACCAGCATGGAATAAGATAATACCCAATTCAAGTGGCCCTTCTGGATCAAGCTCCTTTGAACACACTGCTTTTTTTGTTCAAGAATCTGGATCTCATGTAGCCAAAATTATTGAGAGTTCAAGGTTGAAAGCAGAGGCAATGGTGCATGCAGCTATGCAGGTAGGAAAATTCCTTCAAACTTAAAAATCTAAAGCAGATAGTTTCCCATCCCAAGCTCTCTTTGATTCCTAGAATTATGAAGATTAACTATAGAACTTGAACTTCATTTTGTACATCTGGTTTTCGTAGGTTTTGATCATCCAACTGATGAAATATGGAGCTGTGCATCTTGAATTTAAATATTGAGCTTCATTTCGACTGCTGCTACAGTAGTCCGAACAGGAAGAGGAGAAGAAGAAGAAGAAGAA